TGCACAGTGTAATTTACTTAGAGTTGTCGCTTTCACTTACAGTGTGGGAGATAAACTGTAACTCTATCATATTCCTCTTTTTAGGATTTCAATAACGTGCATAGTAATTGCAATTAAAGATCTTTCTAGATAGTTAAAAAGAGGGGAAGAATTGTGCAAGCATGCAGATCTTTAGAACAGTTGTGAGCTACTGAAAACATTATGATGTTGCAAAAATTACACAGTATCTGCAATTCTATCATTAGTGGTTTTTTCCATCTGGATCACTGGTTTTGTGTGATAATACTGGCATATTTAATGCTCACATTCTGAGATATGCTGAAATCTCTGTCAGCCTTGCCTTTTTGTGATGCTCACTACTTCCAGCTGTACTGGTACTACCTACCATTGGGACCACTCGCTCTGTGAAGACAAGACCTTGAAGAATCAAGTGCACTTGTGGTACTGAGGAGCAGTCTAAGAATTTGTATTTAAGGAGCTACTTTTGCCATGTCTGTGGGCTTCACAGACTAGCTCTCTGATATAGCCTATGCAGCAACGATAGCGTATTTTCTGTCTGAGACCTGAGGCCCAACTGCACTACCACAGTGATATGGGGAGAGGAGGAACTTAGCATTTGCCATTCCAGTAAGGATCTTTTAGAATCTGTGTTCATGTGAAACGGCCTCCACTATATTTTGAAGATGCTCGTTACAAGGCATTGAGCAGGCAGAGCCCAGATGCTTCACGCGGAACAGTCACGACAGACTCCTCAATTTTGCATGATTGTTGAGCAGTGCAGAGAGTGGCAAGAGTACAATAACTTAAGAAAATACCCCACCCAAAGGAATGATACAACTGAAAGCCCCAGTAGAGCTGGGACTCTTTGGAAAACTGGAATGCATCTGGAACATATTCAACCCATCATTTTATCATGTATCTGCAAAAGACAGTTGCCTTTAAAATAGGGACAAGTCAGAAGATAGTTTTCTGCTTCTGTTCTGTTTTGGTTTTTTACTCAACTCAGTAGAACCTAACCATGAAATAACGGAATCAAACCTTGGGAGTTAGGTATTCTGCATAAAAATGAAACATGTGACAGAGGAATTTTTACAAGTACATTGTGCAAAAACGTATAGGGGGTACAGGGAGCAAATTGAAGTAATTTCAGAAAAAAACAGAGTTAAAGATCCCCCAGTCCACCTCAGGTACAGTAAAGGGATGGAGTGACGGTTACACTCCATGGAATCAGAGGTTCTATGAGATGCATTGCTGGGAGAGAGGAATACTTGTGTGTGTGAATATATATCTATGCTCACATACCCCCTCTCCAGAGTGCACAGGTATACACGGGAGATTATTTGAGTGGGATATTGTCCTGGTTTGAGATAAACAGAACTAATTCTGTTCAGTGGGTTTACTTTTCAACTCAGTCTCCTCTAAGAGGCTGCACTTTCTGAGGTTGGCAGCATGTTTTTGCAGAAAGTGTCTGCTGCTAGAAGTGATAACACCTGATGTTTCCAGTTACTGCCAGGGATTGGTATGCAGAAAGGCTCTTGCTTATACTTGCTTCTGTAGTGACCAAGGCCACTGCTGAATCTTGCATGCCATATTGTGGATGCTGGGGAGTAAAAGGGTCACAAGAAAGTAAAAATTTTCCCATCCAGAAGGGAACGGACAGGACGGAAGACCCAAAACTGACCAACAAAGTATTCTGCACTGTATATCATAGAATCATAGAATTATAGAATGGCCTAGGCTGGAAGGGACCTTAGAGATCATCTAGTCCAACCTCCCTGTCATGGGCAGGGACGCCTCTCAACTAGATCAGGCTACTCAAGGCTCCTTCCAACTTGGCCTTGAACACCTCCAGGGAGGGGACAGCCACAACATCTCTGGGCAATTTATTCCAAAGTCTTGCCGCCCTCGTACTGAAGAATTTCTTCCTAAGATCTAATGTAAATCTATTCTCCTTCAACTTAAACCCATTTCCCCTTGTATATGTCATAGTCAGTATAAAGCTGAGGGATCACAATAGTGAGGTGGCAGTAAGGAAGCACTTTTCAGGTCCATGTGGGCCCAGAACCTCCCCAAAAGAGAAGAGCATCTTTTGCTGCAGATCTAGAAGGAGCTGGGATAAGACAAGCAAATGTTGGCAAAATACTTGTGAGGTAGAGTGTAAAATTGACCCTGAAATTATTATGTACAGAATCATAGGGTGACTTTGAGTAAGGCACAGTCTGAAGCTCAGTCAAACAGCTGAGTGTGGCTGGTGTGTCAGGGCTTCAACACCAAGAGATTCTTGACAGAAGCAGTAACAGATTAGGACAATATCCACAGCATGTTGTAACAAAGCTTTAGAAGAGGTGCTGCTCTCTTTAGAAATGAGTCCCATTATTCTATCAGGGGTAAGCAGAATGTGAAATTTGTCAATATCTAGTATTGGTAAGAGTCTAGCTATTCAGGATCCTCAAAAATGCAGCCAAATAACCTTATTTTAAACTGAGTGCAACTAAAAACTCAGTCATAACCAAAATGAAAAGTAGTGGTTACCTGTAGTGAGAAGTAGGCAATGTGGCACAAATACATAAAAATAAAAATCCAAATCACTCAGCATTATGAATCACAGCACTAAATAGCAGCAGCATAGAAAGCTCATTTGGGGTGGCTTCTGGGGTGCCACAGAACAGCGTTTAACTGTGCTCTGAGGAAAAGGTCAGTGCCTCATGATTGCTGGCTGCAGGTACTTTCCCAGTATCGCGTGGTCCCAGCTTCTGCAGGTGAGCATCCTTCAGGAACCTACTACAATCTCCTTTAATGAACTGGTATGGTCTGGAAAGCTTGAGCACCTGGGTGAAATTAGGTAAGTCTTCTGACCTCAGGAAGAAATGGAAATCTGGGAGTGAGCTCCATCTTACACTTAGGGACAGGCTACAACCTCGTTGCTTCTAGCTATGAGTTTGCAGTAGAAGTATTACCTGTTGGGATTTGAGAAAAAAGAATTGTCAAGCACAAGAACATCAAATTATTCGCAGTGTTTCTTCTTCTCCCACGGCTTCAAGGCCCTTCATGGATGTGTCACACTCCTTGCTGAGGGAGAAAAGGTCACCAGAGGTGAAAATGAATAAAATAATTCTTGAATTTCCACTGAACTGAATAACAGTTCACACCATTTCTATTAGGTATAGCACTCCTCCCAAGTGTGCTACACATCTGCCATTGGAGCTAGCAAACTCATGTCATAAGCAGCATATGCCGTTTGAGAACTATTTATAGTCTGTAAGGTGTTATAAGACTCTGTCGTCATTGTTGACTTCTGTTCTAGTTTCCTTCAGCGCCATGCTCCGCTCTAAGGATTGTATGGGTTCCAAATATACCCTCACCTGAATGAACTACTAGACTTTAAGACAATTTTCATTCATTGTACTCATGAGTATACGTCAGCGTACTTGTGGAGACTTTAATATATATCAGACCAAGCCCAAAGTAATATAAGTGGCTGTTAATTTGACTACAGAATCTTCCATAATACTGCAAGGATTATTTTAAAGTTTTTGTATATTTTGCAATACGGAAGTGCATATACAGATAGTAGTTATGAGCATAGAGCCTCAACACTGTCAGAGCATGTGTGAAATTTGCCTTCTGAAGTTTCTCCACAACCTCAGATGCAGCTGTCCTCAAAGCACATTTAAAGGTAGTATCAAGAGTTCTACAGAATGGCTCAATGCAATAGCACTCTTCTGCAATAATCCATGGAAAATGACACAGTAACATGCATTATTGCTCCCATATCATGTATCTGAAGTTTATGCAGTCAAAATATAATTCAGAAATTGGAACCAGTTTGGAATACGAAACACAGGAAGTATTGTCATCTTTACGTAAAATAAATAAAAGGTCCAACCCAACCATCTGTGGTCAAAAAACACAGAACCCCCCAAACACTTCCAAAAACTCCTCCAAAAGAGCCAGACCACAACCACCCACGCAATACATTTTATATCCTAAAAGTTAAAAATAAGTGAAATGAGCTATTTGTGTCATTTTTTTTCCTTTAAAATTCACGACATATGCATAGAACATGTGACTGTGGGGTACTGTGGTAATTTTAATAATTTTTAAGGTAACCTGTGTGTTCTTTACTTCTCCAAACTAAATCCAATTTCATGCCAACAAATCACTTTGTAAACTCTTTGAGAAAAGATCCTGCTTTTACTTACTGTGTAGCTCAATTAAGACTGAGGCCTTCCGGATGAGACTCTAGATGGTGGAGCAGTATAAGTTAATAATAGGAACTGTGAATGAGTTTTATAGGCTCTTTCAAGAGTTTATCTCAGATAAACATTTAGCCCATCATGCTTATGTAAAGCTATCTGTTCAGAAACTTCTCCCTGGACACAGCTGCTCCATACTACACATATCTGATTTATACTAGTCTACGTTATGACAAAAGATCACTGTGCAACTGCTTGGAATTAGGTTAATTTAGATTATTTTGCTATAGGTTCTTTACTTTTGCAGACTTTTGATTGAACACTCAGCTGAGTTGCCTTCCAGACAATTGCCTCTATGACATTTTGAGGACAGGTGTTAACTGTGGAAACCTACTCAGTATTAAACGTACCTGTCTCATTGCTACCGACTTTGGAGACGATACTTTAATATTTTTTTTTCTGGTTATTGTTCTTCACAAAAGACCTAATTGAAAATATCTGTGAAATCATGTCTCTGGTTTCCCTCTTCTATCCCCCACCAATTAACTGGGCACATATTGTGTTTGTGTGGGAAGGAAGGAGGCTCTATAGTAGTATAGCAATATTGCTGGGAAAAGAACATTAAAATGGATAAAGGGATTTCCTGGTGGTATAAATACCTGCACACGACCTCCCTGTGCTCTGAGCCCTCCTGTATGTGTATATGCAGTTCAGAAGCCTGGAATAGAGTTTGAGCTGCTGGTAATTGTGCAGGATCTGTCCTGGTAGAAAACGGGCAAGCGGCTCTTTTGCCTGTCGGAGGGTATGACTTGCCAAGCGTTTGCTTCATCTGACAGCTTTGTGCCCTTGAATTCTGACTCTTCTCCCTCTCTGCCTCTGATAATGCATCATAGCGCCGCAGAATGCCTGCCAGTCTCTAACCATGCCACCAATGTTGTGTCTACAGGTACTTTTTAAAAATAATCTCAGTAACTCTCACTTGTAATGCTTTTCAATGCTCTGTGTTCATTGAGTTCTGTAGTACTTAAAGTGTTTGGTATCCATGCTATGTCTGGTTAGGGCTACATTAAAGTACATTTTCACAAAGCTCTGCATGATGAGTAAAACACCAAAATGCCGAATGTTTGTGTTTTCACTAAATTTGTAACTTTCTCTAAGTTTGTAACAAGATTGAACTCAGGTATGCTACCAATGCATTAACTTAGAACAGGCTCAAACACTGTCGCTGTTGTTATGACTATATAATGTTCAATGACAAGTGTCATGTAAATTAATTGGAAGTTTCTTTGTTATGTAACCACAATTTAAAAGAATATAAATTACTTTAAATAGAAAATATATCTAAAACAGGTCAGCTCTAAATGTCATTTGGGAAATCTTTCAAGAAGGAAAAACAATGCTTTACAAAGCATATTGCATACTGAATCAAGACTGAGGTTTATGTGGGATATTCAAAATCGGTGGTAGAAGTCTCATCAATATATTTGAATTTTGTATGTTTGTATATATAATCCAAATAATTGCATTTAAATACTAGGATTATGTAATCATTGAACTATCTGAGAGAAAGATAGAGAAAGAAAGAGGTTTCTTGCAGCCCTAAAGCTGCAGAAGTGGCATTCTGGAGCACAGGAATTCTTGATGGAAAGATTTCAGGAACAGAAAAAGAAATAGTTATTTTAAATTTGAAATTTCATTAAGGTAAGAATTTTATTGAGAATCTTAAGACGAAATTAGCCTTCTAAAATACATTAGTAATAAAACAGTTTAATAAGAAGGAAAGTATGTAAATAATGAAAACTGAGCACTGGTGATAGGTAACAAGACCTTATACATTAAGCAAGGGGTTCAAAATACACTAATACAGTTATTGGTTGGCAGTGGTAGTAAGGAATAGGAGAATGTAAGTTTTGTACGAGGCCAGATTTATGTATCTGTATCATAGCAGTATTTTCTAAATTCATTTGATTTGTAGTAAAAAGTATATGGCGACAGCCAGCCAAAAACATTTGATCATCATCTGCTTCAGATTTGGGTTTTGATATTTTGTAGTTACCACCCAAGGACAAACACTACTGCAGTCACTGTGAATTTTACTTACAGGATCACGTCTAGTAGGTGACCCTGTGAGAATGGAAGTAGTGACAGAAGGCGCTAACTGTAATGAGTAAACGTTTACAGACTTCATATATAGATTTAGAAATTGTAATAAACAGTGCTGTTCTGGTGAAATCATCTAAGGAGAAGTGGATGTGAAAGAATTTTGACAAACAACTTAGGTTGAATGTCAAAGCTTTTTAAAATTCATATAACAGTTCTGCATGAAAAGAGAGGTGAATATAATTCTGTTCAAACACTAGACCATGTAATACAGCTGATGTTCTGCAGTATCCTCAACACTTTAAATTACGTTATTTAATTTAACATTAATTTAACATCATTCTCACTATTTAATTTTAACTCTTTTTTAACAAGTTCAAAATGCATAAAAATTATAGTCTATGGATTATGGAATACTAGGAAATAATCCACCAGTAAACACTTAGATCCTACTTCAACAGAAATGCTGCATTTCTCTAAATGCACTAGTAGTATTAATGTAATCTTTATTTTGAGTGAATTTTTGAAAGTATAAGCATCCCTGGTTTAGTAGATTTTATATCTGTGTGAGTGTATCTAACCAGGACATTTTTACTGTTATGATTACAGTTGTAAAAAACCAAAGATTCTAATCCCTAATTAATTATATTGTTTTAAACAACTGGAATGTGTACTCTAAAGTACAGTTTTACATATCTCACTGGTCAAGTACATTGATTTTTAGTATTTTACTTTATAGCGGTTGTTAGAGGGCACAGCGTATGCCTTTCTGTGCCTATTTATGCATGAGAAATAGCTACATCTCTCATTTTGCATTCAGAAAAGTAAGGTCTGGTTATTCAGGCACTGGTGGTTACTGAGCACACATCCGAAACACCCCAGTTAAAACACTAGAGATGGATTAATTGTGTTTGTTGGTGCTGATCACGGAAAATGTTGATTTAGGACTAACTCGTTACAAAAGCCCAGAATCTGTCATTCTCTGTCCCTACCACTCTGCCAAAGCACTGGAATCTGTTTGGTGGCTTTGCACTTAAGAAAATGTGATTTCTGGATGCCTCAAAGCAAAGGTCCCAAACTACTGCTTTTGGAAACTCAGGTTTTAGGGATAGATAAAATATTGTGATGCCTGTGTAAACAGTGGTGTTTGCAGGCCAATGAAGCTAATCAATTTTCTGAGAGCACAGAGCAAGTTTTTATGTAAGATTAAACAAAACGGTGTGTGGAATTTGGGTGGGGAGAAGAACTGCTGTGCTCCTGCATTGCTTAATGCTTCCTTCATTCAGCAGTGTATGTAAACTAGATCATGCCCATGGATTATACTAGAAATAATGCATCAAGACCACAGCATGACAATTTCTAGTGTTGGCTCAGTGGATATCTCATTTTTTATACTGGCAGTCTTGTCTGGTGAGACCTGGACAAGTGTCTGGACTTCCAGCAGTGTTAACCTGATGGTTGTGCCCAGAGCTAAAGCCTTCACTGAGTGAGCACGAAAACTACATACAAGGGTGCTGTCTGCCTCTTAACTTAAAGGCTGAGTCTTGAATCCTTGTGCACTTTCTTACTAGTTCTCTCTGTTTTGTCTTTGATCTAAACTCCTGTATGCTCCCATATCCAACTTGCCATGATGATTTTGGGAAACACCTCAGCAGGCCTTCATTACTCTGTGCCCTCCTGTCATTATGGAAATCAACCATCTACCTATGGGGTGATGGCAGGTATGTGACAAATCCTCAGCTAGGTGAGCTATTAGCATGTTTGTTTGGGTCAGTTTTCCTTTAGAGGGACTGATTTTAAGACAGCTAATTAAAGAAGACCAGATCGGGGTTAAGGCACTGGAAAAGGTGTTAGAAAATGAGGAGTCAGAGCCAAGTTTCCCCAAACCTCTCATCTCTTGCAAAATCACTGCATCTTATTTCTCTCTACAAAACCAGGACTGTGCTGCTTTTTTCCTCATCTATGTCCACTTCCCCTGGTAATTATTATTTTTGAAGGACCGGGTGTGATGTACCCAATATAGCTGTATATTACCAGTACCTGGGGTGATGGAGCCCTGACAGGAGCTATAAAATAAAACAGTGGCATAATGGAAGGACAGCTGAATTCAGCAGGCAGATCATACAGATCATTGTGAATTTTCACACTTCTGAACGTACACTAGCATCCTGCTCAGTTTTCCATGTCCTAGGCTGAGTAAGAAAGAGGAACCATTTTTCTATGCAAGTTCAAGCAGCAGTCAATGAGATAATGCCATGACCCAAATTAATAGAACTCCTAGGAAATCAAACTTAGCATTTTATTTCACTTAAGACTGAAGGAAATATTAGAGTATGTCAGCAGAGATGAATACATCTGCATAGGGACTTTTAGGGATAGAGTACAGACCTCCCTCACTGTATACAAATGTTCAAGCGCTCCTCTTTCACTGTGTATCTTCGTGTCTTGCAAACATTCTTGGCATTTTTCAGATCCCCAGGAAAAGTGGCTAGATATTAAGCAAAAGGTATTGTTCAGAAGTTCATTTTGTTTCATTTCAAGATAAATACATCTTCATGTTTATCCTTTCTTTTTTTTCACCTTAATGTCTTTTGTGGGTTTTTTAGGCATCAAGCCTGCAACTCCAGAGATGCTGTCAGCAAGTCTCTCCCAGAGTCGCATCTTACAGACTTGCAGCATGCCGCATGCCAATGTAGTAAATGGTGTCAGCACCCTGCAAAGCAAGTCCTTCTTTTTTTTCAGTCTTTTCCTTTGTTCTTTGAGAAATTATTTTCTTTTGTGTTTATCCTGTATAAATTGTATAAAATATTCCTATTCGCTTAGAACCTCCAAAGCTAGTGAGAGCAAACAGGGCAGTGAAGACAAGAAAAGTAAATGGAGGAAGAGGTGGGAGGTTAATAAATTTCTGTGTTCTGCAACAAAGTTTTGTGTGATTTAGAAAATTGTAAAGGATGTCCCAAAAACCTGAAATTCACTGGCTGCTCCAGATATAGAGTGTTAATATTTCTTCTTTTTTTTTTTTCCCCCTCTCAGGTCAAAGACACTTTAGATCTATGTGCAATATCTAGTGAAAAAACAGCCTTAACTGAATCTCTGTCTTAAGTCTGATATTTGAGAATAAAAGGTAGCATGACATAGTTTATTTGTTCTTAAGCAATTTATTTCTAAGCCAGAATGATCATTCTGAATGTGTTCTGGGTTTTTGATTTGTTTTTTGTTTTTCTTGGAGGTCTCACCTGTGTGCTTTCCTCCAAAAGCTTTATGCTGATGGTAGACAAAGGCAGTATCTTGTCTGAGCTTCAAATAGTATTTACAGGGAAATAGTCTTTGTACCAGAAAATAGGGACTGGCACGTTTTAGGTAGTTCAAAGTGACCATAGTTCCATCAGTCTTGTTGTGCCACTAAATTCCGGCTGAGACCTTGGATAGTTATTTGTTTAAGTTTGGACCATTCACCATCTTAATCAAGTGCACCACAGTTTGGTAAGAAACAGGATGGCTGTGGGCTCTGAAAGTAGCTGTGGGTCAGTTTTCAGGTACTGGGGAAAGAGACCGTTTCTCCTAGATCCTCACTCTTGGATACCTTTGCTTATATTATATAATAAATATTACACACATGGATTATGAGATGCTGAAGACATGTTTTTACGGTATAGTGGTAGAGAATAATGGCACTGCGTTTCCTTTTTGGTGTTGCTCAGGTAGCCTGACCCCTTGCCTTTATAAATTCCCGGAGCACGCCCTGAGCGCCAGCTCCTGTGCCCTGGGCCACGGCTTCACGCCCATGCACCAGACCCTCCTCACAGACGATCCCAGCACGGCAGACTTCAAGCAGGAGTTCCGCAGAAAAAGCAAGTCTGTTGAAGAGCCTGTCGACATGGACTCCCCTGAAATCAGGGAACTGGAGAAATTTGCTAATGAATTTAAGCTGCGGAGAATTAAGCTGGGTATGTGCTTTATGTCTGTGAACAAAAGCCTGAAAAACTCTGGTGAAAGCCCAATTATTTCCGAATGTTTTACGGTCTAGCATCCGCAGTTGTCTAATCATAACTCTAATCCTGCCTTGCACTGCCAAAACTTTCTCCATTCCTAGAACACTTGCCTGGACTTAATGAATTTCAGCGTTTTGCAATTTAGCATGCAGAAAGAGACTTTAAACTTTCCTGCCCTTAAGTTATTTGTCTTAAGTGCAGAGAAAATTATTGCTGTTCATTAAATTACATTCAGTAGCAGGTGAGCTATTTTGCACAGCCCCAGATTTTCTGCAGCTCACGGCAGCATATGCTCTAACTTCTCATGCCTATCATTTTCCCCATTAAGTTCTTCATTTGATGGTGCAGTGTCATGTCAGTGCACAAAATGGGCAACATCCATGGCAAATCTTTTATACTTCTCCTCCTGGTTTATTTCCTTGTACCCAGATACAGGCACAGCAACGACTGATAATGTTGTTGCTGTCTGGTAAGTACCAGAGCTGATGTGAGATGGACTGCAATAGAGGGTCTCTGACGAGGTACTTGTCTTTCACTAGACAATCTTAGCTGAGGATAAAAGCAGACCAAGCCCCGTCTTTCTCACCTGTAGGGGACAGATATATGTGGCAAAGTAAAAGTCTGTCTGTCTCATCCTTCTTTGAAATGTGCTGAAAAAAATAACATCCAGTGATACACATTCAGCTGACTTATGTATACTGGGTACTCAGAAGAGTTCCAATTTTGACATTATGGCTATAACATTATATTGTATCATTACAAGATAGGGCATCCTTCTAGCTTTATAAAAGTTAAAAAGAATTATAAGATTATTACAGGTATCTATGCATTATCTCAACAGCCAGAAAGCTAGCGTACTCCAAATCCAGTGTAAAAATAAGGACTGAAACAAAGATTTAACATAGTTTAACATAGTTTAACACAGTACTTGCAACTTGGTCAATTTTGCTGAATATCACATATTTAATGTCTGCCATGGCAATAGAAAAGTTTGCTAGGCCCTACACTGTTGATCATTGTATCTTCATCCTGAGTTTGAAAGGGAACAAAATTTACTCTGATGCAAACAAATGACACGAAGCAGGTGAGACTGTTCTCTGACAGGAAAAATGCAATTTGCACAGCAAAACTAATCTGAGGTTGAGCTTTACAAGGGAAGACAGACTTAATGTGGGCCGTGGGTCTAAGACTGAGAGATTCAGAGTTAGTGCAATCCAAATAGAGGTAAAAAGCTGCCTCTGAGACATTCAGCATCTAAAGAGATCCTACCTGTCCTGGTGCAGAGGCAGAAAGGGAGGACAATAAGCCAGACCCATGAATGTGGCGGATACACGTTCAGATCGCTGTTAAAAAGCCAGTGTCTGCATGGAAACTGCAGCATTTCTTTGATAGCTTCAATTTAGTTGTCGCAACAAATGACATGAGACCAGAAGTGCCTCCAGGGATTAGCTTATTGCCATTGCACTATCTATAGCAATAAAGATCTAGGGTCCATGAATCCTTCTCAAATCCCTGATCTCAGAGTGCAGAGGTCCACTAAGTAATTGTAAAAATCCACTGAAACCAACAGAAGACTCAAAATGTCTCTGAGGTGAACTCAGAATCAGCCACAGAGACCTCTGCAGAAAGCCCATCCTAAAGACACCGCAGTTCTTAAGACACACGGTTCATAAGAGTGAAGCAGTGAAGAGTTAAGCATCCCAAGGAAGGTAACCTTCTCTAGTAAGCTCTACAGTGACTTTTTTTTCTCTTTATTTTTGGCAGGCTATACACAAACCAACGTTGGAGAAGCACTGGCTGCTGTGCACGGCTCTGAATTCAGCCAAACTACTATTTGCCGGTTTGAAAACTTGCAGCTGAGTTTCAAGAACGCATGCAAACTGAAATCAATACTGTCCAAGTGGCTAGAGGAGGCAGAACAAGTAGGAGGTAGAAAATTGAAATCCTCTAAATATTGATTTGCTTCTAAACCTGAATCCTAGTTGAAGGACTAGTACATGTCTTCCATAGTCTAAAGGACTCTTCCTTCCACCTTCTGACATATGAGATGTGGCCATGGGGGAAAGGATTTGAGTTCAGCTGAGGCAGTGGTCTTTAAACCCTGAAAAAGAATAGCATGCCACCGAGGTTTCTGATGTGACCTTTTTGCTGCTAGAGGATTCCCTCCTTTTTGCCCAGTTACTTTCCAGTTGCAGGAAGCATCACTGGGCAAAGTGTACTTAGAACACGTTGGCTGATTTGTAGGAAACGGGTAGCCTTAAAGAGCAGCTTTTTCAGCTGGATAAATTGTGATGCTGAGAAGCAGCATGCCTGGAAGTGACAGTAAAAGCCAGGATTACCACCGTGCAGCACTTGCCTAGCATGGGAAGAAAGAGATGGCTTTAAGGCTACTTTTTTTCATTTGCCATAGTATTCAACAGTAGAAAATGTCATTAAACAAATACTTATGCCACATAGAATCACAGAATATCAGGGGTTGGAAGAGACCTCAAAAGATCTAGTCCAACCCCCTGCCAGAGCAGGGTCACCTACAGTAGGTCACACACCTTAGTTTCCTTTGAACCAAATGTAGAAAGCCTTTTTTCCCTGTGACTGCACTAGAAACCAGAGGCTCTCCTGATGTGGCCAGCACATTGCAAGAGTCACTTGTGAGGGGATTGTGGTGGGCAGCAGCTGCTGAACGTCTGAGCAGCGTTGCAGGCTTGAGCTGCAGGGCAAGGTCACACGTGTGGGCAGTGGCCTCTAAGAAGTGAAAGCAGACTTGTACATCAGAAGACAGGGTGGAGGGGGCAGATGACTGAAAGGGGTTGGGTGCCAATGCTGTGTTTCTGAAGAAAAATGGTGTGGGAGCCTAGGGATATGGAAAAGGACTCCATCTCCCTAGACTGTACCCTGCAGGGCAGGAGGAACAAGGTTTGTCAGAGGATTACGGCTCAGCAGGTAACATGGGAACAGAGCCAGTGCTCTGCAGCTTTACTGGTTGCACAGTGTTTTTGCTTGTAACCATTTATAGCCAAAAGCAAGACAATGACCAACCATCTTAAAGAAAAAAGTGCTCCTATATGTGGTGCTGCTCTTATTCAGCAGCATTATCTGTTATCTTTCTTCTGTCTTCAAAGAAAGGAAAGGGATGTTTTTTTCTGGAGATGATTGTGCTTGTTTTCCATTCCCTGTGGAAGGTAACTGCTGGGTTTGTTTTGTTTTTAATACAGCTTTATACAGTGAAAAAGTTGGAGTGAATGAGCGGAAGAGGAAGCGCAGAACCACCATAAGGTAATAAATATTTATAGTATTACATGTTAGAAACCCCTTTGGCTAAGATGCTTCTTTTTCTTGAGTTCAAAATTAAAGTCTGATTTTCTTTTAACAAATCTTGATAGCTAGTGTTCAAAATGTTACACTTATTTGAAACAATCTAGTGAAAAATAACAGCATACCCCTCCAAAATCTGTTTGCTCATAATACTTTTCCCAACAAAAGACTTTTTTTCAATATAAACCAAGATACTTTAATATGAAAAAATATTTTATTGCAATTCTGCCCAAATTTTGCTATAATGAATAAGTATCAGAGCACCCTTGTTTTCATTTCAGGAGGTTCTACATTATACCAAAATAAATTGCCTTATTTTACTACAAAATTGAGGTCTAGGAATTTTGAGGGCAACCTTTTACACATAATATTGCACCCCTGTCCCTACCCTTTGTCACTGAATTCACTAGAGCTCCCAAAGAAACACTTTCGTGAACTAAACAGAAAAAACATGGAGTTGTTCTGAGAACCGATCTCTGTTTCTCACATCTCTGGTGACCAGTATCTACCATGCATCTAACTTCAACTCCATGTGGAAATCAAGTAGGCTGGTAAATCACATTGCAAACCCAAATGCCAAGTAGGTGAAAAGAGAATATGGGATATTTCCTTCTCCTTTAGATATCTCAGACTCTTATAATCTTTGGTGAAGAAGAATTCACTCAGAGAACCTCCAAGGAGATGTAGTACTGTTCCACAGGTAGGGAATTTGGGCATAACCCTGGTGCTGTTGGGCTCTACCCACTATAGTGAATTGACATCTTTGAACAGTGATCCACAGATAACTGTGGTGAGGTTCAGAATCAAATCCTTTAGAGTAAGAAAATACTAATTGTTCCTTTGAAGGCATATGGGTCCTCAGTCTAAGGACCTCAAACTAATCGGGACTTTATCTGAAACTGTAGCCTTACTCTTAGCAGTACTTAATAGACATTTGAAGGAAAACTGGAGGTAAAGGAAAAGTCTAAGTAACCAAATTAGTTTAGTTATACCCTGAGCAAAAACTATTTAATTTGAATTTGCGGAAGCTGTTTTATTTTCTACTTTGATTAGAAAGCCTAAGAAACTGTTAGCCAAAATTAATGATGTTTCTCTACTTCTGTGTGTGCAGAAGTACACTATTAATTAGGTAGCTTTGGCAACATTACTAAATATTGCAAAATAGGCCTATAAATGAAAGACCGACAACATACTCCAGATCAATTAATGAAGTAACTAGAACTCCAACAGACACCGTGTATATTTCTGGAACTGGAATACCTGCACTTCAGTTCCATAATAATGTATGAAGTGCCCTCTTGTGTCCAAAAAAATTACAGCTAGTGCGGATGCTACTTTTCGATCCAGCGTAGGTACACAATCCATGTTGCAGATACTCTTTGTTTTCTGAGAATATGTAACACAAATGAGAAGGAAATTCTATCTGGTAGTAAGAAAATATAGGAGTTTTAACATTTTTTGTTTATTGAACCACTCAACTTTGGTCACTGCTGATCATGAGAAATACATTGAGGCAGACTTTTAGAAAATGTGATGGTCGCTAAAGAGATCGCCATAGATTATGTAGAAAAAGAGGAAACGAACCAAGTCACCATCTTCAGTGCTGCTAGGTGACCCTTCTCTTGAAAGCCTGCATGTGTCAGAAAGGTTTTTAAAGGTGAAATTTTATCCCTTTTTCCAGTATCGCTGCCAAAGAAGCCCTAGAGAGGCACTTTGGAGAGCAAAGCAAGCCTTCTTCTCAAGAAATTATGAGGATGGCTGAGGGGCTCAATCTTGAGAAAGAAGTTGTGAGAGTTTGGTTTTGCAACAGAAGACAAAGGGAAAAAAGAGTGAAGACAAGTTTGCATCAGAACGCCTTTAGTTCTATTATCAAGGAGCATCATGAATGCCGGTAAAGTTTCTCCATGCATAGGTGTGGATTTCTGTTTTGCTTGTTGTAAATGTTGTAAATACTATGTTGTTTAAAAAAAGGAAAAAAAAAAAGAAAAATTAGAAAACATTTGCTTCTCTTACAAGCTAGCTAGCTTCAGATGTAATGTGAAAGACCTGATTTTAATGTAAAATGTTGGAAAAAAATTAAATGCTATCACATATATTTAAAGAGCTGGAGGTCTCTGCCTAACTGCAAGGAACCTATTAGGCATTATTCAACTGGAAATGCTTTCCAAGTTGCCCAAGCACTTGCAGTTTCCCCAATGCTGTGCCTTTCTGCAGTATACTTAATGCAGTACATTTGATGATTGACGGAGAATCCCATGTAGGTATCCTAAGTATCAGGAGACAAAGCCCATGTGTTGCATATGAAGAAAGGCTGCAAGGCTTGACAGCAGCAGCTCTAGTTTTGAAAGAACTTTGCATCTGCATGTCCATGGACATGCTATCCACTCATCCCATGCTAGCTAACTGCGTTAACCTCTGCGGGATTGTAAGCCATCAGGCACGTTGCAGGGTCCCATTTCCAGCGGTGAACACTGAGCTCACCAAACTGAGCATCAGTGAGGAATTAGACCTTCAAAGAAGAGAAGGTGACTAAGTGACCTTAAACAAGCAGTGGTGACGCTGCTGAACATATAGTTATGGCTGAGAATGGGATACACGCGTAAGATCTGGTGGGACTGCTGCTAGGGCTGAGAGCCAGGTAGAGGAACCCCAGCTGAAAAACTGCCTTCCCAGAGGACGGCTCAAACTCAGCTACCTGCTCACAACAGCAGTACACCTCTGAGTAAATCATTTCATGTAAACTCCTTGGATAAGTTCGGGACAAAGCCAGTAGCAACATGCCATAATTGCTGCCATTATTTACGGCAGAGTAAGCTTAGCGTACACATAAGAACTGAGGTGTCAACACTGTTCCTCCTCTGGTCTGTTTATGTGAACCACTTGAATGCCTTAAATGAGTGCCAAGTAGAAGTGACTTCTTTTACGCTTGTTACCAAAGGTAATTCTCACTAATTTACTCTGTGCCTTAAAATTTGATTTGGATAGGCTTAACTATCAAAATCGGGATACAATTTACCCTACCTCAAGACTTTGGGACTCAAAGGGGAAAAAACTAGAGAATTGTCAGGGTTCGTATTACTTTGAGATTTCTCTGTATTTTATTTTTTTCTGATTAAATCCATGGGTGGACATACTTACACCAGAGAGAGTGTGTTAAGCTAAAAAAAGAAAGCTCTTGCACTGTGATGTAAGTATCAACCCAAAGCAGTTACTGCACTGCACATTTCCACATTCTTACACCCCACTAATTGAAAATAATCCCTTATTTGTCATCCTCTAGCCTAGGGAGATAATTGGGGAGAAAAAAATACAACAGTGCCAGAGCTCCACCTACCAGAAGCAGTACTGAAAAACTGAATTAATGACTGTAGTACTCACCAGGGATAGATTATCCAGCCATCTCATCAGCCCTGCTCATTGTTATTAGAGTAGCCCATTACCATATATGTATTTTTGACTGTTTTCCCAGGACTGAAATTGAGTACACTCAAGCAGTAATGGTCAGATACATTTTATTTTTCCATAAAACAGACCTGATGATTTAGAAAATGTCTAGCTAATAGGCCCACAGAAAGCAAAAAGAGTTTAATGTTCGAGACCACTTAGAAGCAGTGTGTACAAGTTAAATGCTCCCTCTCTAGTGTATGTTAAATTATCTCTGATACCCATTACAAAGACCATAAGCACATTCAGCTATGGAAATCAGGCTCCTGGACTTTTAAAAAATACATTTTTATGGATGAATGCTTGGCTATGGCCCCTTAATTTAGAAGAAAACTTCATTTTAATAACTCAAAAGGGAGAAATAGTGCTATGTGCTCTCTTCAGGCTCTACTCATTGCTAGCATAGCTCACCCACTGCACCAGATAAAGTGTAGCCTTGGATAACCATCACATGGTACCTGCATGTCAACAGATCATGAACTTTCCAAAAGGATGAAAGATAAATACAGCTGAGAAGATTAACACTTAGTGAAGGTGGTGGCATGCATTTGTGTACATTTCATGTTATGTGAGCTAATATCATGTACTTTGAAACTACTACCTAATATGTATAAATTTTATTTATATTCTAAATTATTTTCTTAATTATAGAAGGCTTCCTGGAAATGCTATTAGCCTGTACTTCTCAACCTCCCCATCCAATAAAGTATTCTTACACATCTGACACTCTAGGTAATGGTTTTCAGTTCTGTTTTGGTAACACTTCTTTTAGTTGTGTATCATGCTGATGTTCTTATTCATTTTAGCATGTTGAAGCAGACTGACCATAGCATTGTGATTTCTAGTCTCACAGAGTCTCACCAGCAAAGACTAACTGCAGAACCATAGCAAAATAAAATGAAAGGTGGCAAATAATACCATTTTCTTGCAGAAGAATGACAAAAGTGCTAAGTGGAGGAAGCAGCCACCGTCTAGCTGTTGCCACTGAAATACAAATTAAATCAATCTAATGTGCTGCAGCTGCAGCCATTAGATATAAAGAAAGGGGCAATTCTTTTTTATTTTTTCTGTAGGAACAACCTACTGGGTGATTACCATCAATCACTCTTGATTGGGGAAAAACCCCTAAATAAGATTTCTGAGGGGTAGCTTTATAAACTTGCAAGTAAGAGCTGAGTATACTGTTTGACTAGCATGGGCTGCACTATTTTCCTTTGAGAAGTTTGTCATTTTTTGTCTTGCTCTTACTTTTGCCATGGTAACTTTAGGTAGGATGTTAAAACTAGAATAGAAGACGTTATGACAATGTACAAATCTGTGGTTCACCTGCCTTGGAGGTACTGAGTAGCATTCTGTCTCCCTTGTCTGAATCACAGAACAGACCTAGAAAAGGCCTTGCACAGGCAAAGCTGATCATGAAAGGTGAGTAACTTAAGCTACTATCTGTTTTCTTGGTTTTGTTGATTGTGTATGCCTTGAATGCTATAGTGGTCTACTAAATTATGATCTGTATTGAAAGACTGGGTGGAAGCATGCTGTTTAGCATCCTGCCTAATAGAATCATGTGATGCTGGAAAGAAGCTTAAGGGGAGGGGAAAAAAAAAAAGCAGTGGTTGTTAATGTGACAGTGAAAATCTGTGCAACAGCTCTACTTAAAAAATGTGGGTTCCAGGAGCTAACTTACATGGACAAGTTCACAGATGGGAAAAAAACCAGTTGAAGTTGTTGTATATAGATGAACTTACATATGTCTCTGGAAGTTCTCTAAATTGAAAATAGTCAGAAGTCGGGAGAGTCACATACATTTATCTTACTTTCTTATTTTCCTGGGCACTGCTTATGGGCATTTGTGGACTAAGATTATGGATGAGATGGACCTCAGTCTGCCCCATCAGAGTCATTCTTAGGTGCCTATGTGATTGCAGTGTTCATGGATGGAGGACTTCCAAATTCTGTTGCTATTAAGGTGTCAGCAAGTATAAAGGAGTTTAAGGAGTTTGTGGTTTGGTTTTTCTAGACTGTTAAGAGTGATTTAAAAGGAATTTGTTTCTAAGTATGGGATGCAATTTTGCTATAGACAGCTACAACATACTAATTGTAATTTAAATAAATATAGACAAGCCTGCAAACCTACAATGCTTCTCACTCTGCTACTGAAATATTGTTATACATATTAAAAGCACGTAAAAGGTAACTGTTAACAGAAACACTGGAGAGATACTGACAGTAGCCCTACTTCAGCAGTCTTACTGACACCAAAAAGCAATGCCTTTATTCCTATTCATCTAAGACCCCACAGACAGAAGAAAGAACTCAGAATTATGCCCAATTTTGTCATTAAAAGGATGGAGTGTACCCTTCATTCAGAAAGGACGTAAGCCTTGGTGTTCAGTCAAAATACAATCAATCAGTAACATTTTATCTCACCAGTTTTACATTATGGGTTCTCCTTCCATGCCTGAGAGCAGTACTTGGGCACTCGGTTACAGACAGAAGGGAATGCAAACTTGATCAAGTCTTTACTAAATGCTGAGTTTAAATTAAAGGCCCACAAGCCACTACAACAAATATTATGCTGCTTTACAGCTCAGGTCATAGGAAAATTTACCAGAGCTAACGAGTCCAAAGAAAGCCCCGTAAGAGACATATGTCTAATCCTACAGAGGACAAAGTCATTGCGGAATAAAAAGCCTTTTATTAGATTTTTACAAAATAACTTTAAAAAAAAAAGAAAAAAAATCACCTCATATTGGATATATGCAATATAAAAAGTTACATTCCTACTCGCTACCTTGCAGATTCATAATTTGTCCATTACTTTATTCAAAGAGAAAGAATGTTTGCATTTCTATGCCAAAAACTAGATGAAAGCTCGCCTATGTTTTTCCTTTCTTTGCCAACTTCAATCCTAAAAAGCAGATGGTGTGGCAACAGTAGACTCATAGAGGTTATTGTTTCCTGCTACACTTTCTCAAGCAGCAAAGTCTCTTTATGAAATTTATCCCCCCTGCAGTTATCCTCGTTTCACTCTTGGGAGGTATTCTGCTTTTCTCTTTTTAAAGCCAAGATGACTTTGTTGTTTCTGTTCAACGAACTGCCCCCCTAAAACAGCACAACTGAGGGGCAAACAATCTCCAGCAGAATATAAGGGGTGAGGAACTTCACACCATCTGCGAAGTCATAACTGGGAACTGCATTCTCATACTTTGTTATCTATTTAAAACATCAACAGTTCTTATTTCATTAGCCAAATGCATTTCACTAAAGTCAGAATCATGTTGATGCAGTTTGGAGACCACAGAAAAACCTTCATAGAGCCAGAATACTTTTATTATAGTGTTTAGACAAGTAATTACCAGGTATCATCCAAAATGGTTCTCAAAACTAAAAGATAAGATTTAGCTTATCAATGTGATCAATTGCATCTTAGTAAACAATAAGTTATGCACAGTTATCTTCCATTAAGAAATACTGTAAAATATATACAAATGTTGTTTCAGGCAAATGTCCTTTTCGCAAGTGAGCAAGTTGCATTTCTGAATGAGTGCATTTCTGAGTGTCAGCACTGACTCCCATTAAGCGTACACAGAGGTCTCGACAGTGTTTTGTGAAACCATCTTAATTTCAAGTTTACTCACCTTTCAAAGACTCATTCTGAAAAAAATCACAAAGGTACAAGATTTATATACATAAAGGCACAGCAATTCTGCTGAAACAGCTATGGTACAGTACAATAGAGTTCAATCGGTGCCTTTCATGCAAAGTTCACTAACAAATTCAAATCCTCCTTCAGTAAAATTAACTGCACGAGGAGTGTTTTCTTCCCTTTTGGCAAAAAGAATAGCCAGCTATTATTTAATCAACTCAAAACTACTACAGGAACTTGAAAGAAATAAAAATAAATGCTTTTTCTGTCAGCCTAAATTTGCTAGACTTTCAAGGCTATTTCTCATCAAAAGAAAACAGCTTCCAACTAAGAGCAATGGTGAAGTTTCATTTGTGCTGTCAGACTAAGAATTTTTCTACAGCGACAGTTTGATAAAAATTATGTATATTATATAGGTGCTGTCCTAGGAAACATCACTAGCAGCCACAGAATAGCCAATTCTAAAGTTAGATCAGGAACTGAGATAGAAGAAAACTTTAAATTCAGAGGACAGATTTGTATCAGGCATAAATAAATCTTCATTAGAACTACATCCCTGGTTGGTCCAGTGGTCCAAAAGACTCCATGCAATGGACACACCAAGTGTACATCTCCCCGTAAATTGATTCAAAATATTCTCCCCTTCTCCTTCCCTCAGTACCAGCATCGAGCTGTCACTTCTGAAGCTTCAGAGTTTTCCTAGACATCAGTTGCATTGAAAGAGTATTTGCACTTTTTACATTTGTCTGCAGCTGAATAATCAGAAGGCAGACTGTATATTGTCATCAAGCTAATCAACTCCCAGAGCTTTGAGCTGTCGTTCAATCTCTTCATCTGATATGGTAGCAGCTTTGGATGTTGATGCAGACGGCAAGCCTCTGGCAGCTGATGGAGCTTTGGCCATCTAGAAGAAGACAGAACTTTTCTTCAGTCAAAATAATAAATGTTAAAACAAGCTGACTTCTAGAATAAGACCTTAAAGATAAGGGCTGATAGAATAAACTACTAAAAAAAAAAAAGAAGTGAAAGGGAAGAAGCACATGAACTGGGTAAAACTAGCCATACCTTTCCAGAGATTTCAATTCCTATCTCATCAAGCACTTGGTTAACAATATCTTGGCTCTCTTCCTCTTCATCAGAAGCATCAAAAATATCATCCAGAGTATCATTAACTTAGGAGAAAGAAATAAAAAAAATCCATGATGCATTAATCATAAAGGTTACTAAAATAATCTAGCACCATCTTTCTACCCTCCCAGAACGTAGCTGTAATACCATTGTGGGCGATACCAACAGAAAGCACGTGTATATTGGCGAGGCTTTCTCTACCTCTGCCTTGCAAAGCCTGTCAGCACAGCTAGAGCAACAACAGGGTAATAAGGCACAACTGCTTTTATAAAAATGTTTAATTTCTTCAAAACAAGTCATTCTATCTCCCCTCTGCTAGATTTTAACATTTCTTTAAAACACCTTTTACAGTTCCATAAAATCCCTTTCCTCCTCCGAATAAGTTGCAAAATTTTTAACTACTCAGATAATTTCTGAACTGCAATAACATGGTTCTGCACAGTTGAGATGTTCACATCTTGCTAAAAAATGTTGGTTTGAGTCCATGCTATTTACTGTGGCCCACAGAGGGGCATGGATTAGGACAGGAAGGAGACTGTGCAAGCAACACCAAGAAGTTTGGCATTATTTAGTTGACAGTGGACAGATGCAATAGGGAACAAGAAACTTGCCATGCCCCAAAGAAGTTGTTTGTGGCTTAAAATAAAAGAGAAAAAACCACCCCATACCACTATGTATGTAAAGCCGAGATTATCAATAACATCTAAATTAAGCTTCCGGTGCCAGCAGAAAAAGCACACGCAGAACTACCAGCTACAGAAAGGGCAATTTTCAAGTCCCCCTACCAGTTATGCCAACAAAGTTTTGAACCCATCTCAAACCTTCTTCCCTTCTAGCACGTTCTTTATGGAAGTATGATGGGTGCTTTGCATGAAGATGGGATGGAGCGGGTTCTAGATTTAGTATTCAGAGATACTAAGGGTAAGGTTCAGCCTCCCTGCTCAGATATGCTTTGTTTTGTTTGATCTTCATTTCTGCTGTCAATCTCAGAAATTGTAGAAATAAAACTTCAAGCATCAGTGTTTCTAGACTGGTTCTACCCTTCCAAAAGCACCGTGGGCTGAAGCTAGCTGTTTGCTGCAGTGCAGAACTTACTCATTTCTTCAGTCATTTCCATCTTCATGTTTTCCTTCTGGAAATTCTGCATAGTTTGTAGTGTCTTTTGTGGATCCATTTTCTTATTAACTGTTTGCATTGTCTATTAATATAAAAAAACCCAAAACCAAAACCAAAACCTTAATCATACAATGAGACATTAGTAAATACCAATATATACATTAAGGAAAAATAAGACTTTTCCATTAAAATAAACCTTCAGTACAAATTTCACTTTCCTTGTCTCTTTACATCCCATGAGAACTGTAGCTACAAAGCAGATCACTAGTGCAGTCTGTACCTAGTAAGATATATCACTATCTGTTACCCTAATAGATATGCTTTTAAATGTATGTGCCTTTTATGCACCACAACCCTTCTCCTGGCATTAGAGTAGTAAAAATCTCCCTGATCAAAACAAAAAGAATGGGATGATATTTCCTAACCTGCTGGCTATAGACTTTTAAGAGGTAAATGGCTTTAGGTTTTTTATTCAGTAAGGAATATGTATCTGAACGACTACTGGAGGACATGCATAAAAATGCAATTGTTTCTGTATGTTATAATTTAATGGAAAACCTACTTGTCTCAGAAAAGGAAATATCAAAGTGTTCAGGAAGTACATATCAGCTTAGGAGGAACCCTTGTAATGGGTAAAGATCTTTTCTGTGTCAGTGTAATAAATTTCACCTGTTTTACTGCAAGTAGGCAGCACTGCCTTTGCAGGCACCAGTATTTAATACCTTCTTTCCTAAGAGGCCAGCTACTGTATCTCTCATGGGACGTGAAAACCTAAATACAGACATGAGCAATTCAAACGCGAAGTCCAACCATCTTTGAGAAGATAAAAGAGTCGGTTAATTAAAAGGGATGCGATCAAGCTACTACAGCTGCCACTGGCTTTGTAGAAGCTCTTCCGCCTTCATGCCTGAGTTTGTTTAAAGTGATAATATTATGCTTCTAATGTTACTTGAATTTCAAAGACTGTGTTCGTAGTCACATTTCAATTTTAAAAGTTGTTCTGGAGTTATAGGGCGTTGGTTCTTTAGAATTCCTTTACAGGAGTTATAGATGGAGATAAAAATTTTTTGCCCCAAACCGATATAGACTTCATATACCTTCAGAAAATAAGGGTGAGATGCATAATTTAAAGAACCAAGTAACTATTAACTGGATTTTACTGTGTCCAAAATTTGTGCCATACATGCTAAAAAGTATATACAAAATACTTAGAAAACTTCACATCCATGTATTTGTCTTGCTTATGAAGGTAACTGATTCCACATATTTTTCACTGATGGTTGGAATACTTTACTTTTTTAAGCTTCTCGTGTTGATAAGGGAAAATACTCATTTTAAAAGTGACCAAAATAAATTAACACCCTCCTCTCTAATCTTGTTACATAAACTGATCCATAGAAATGTCGGGTTTCGAAGAGCATCACTTTTCTGGATTCTGGTTAAATTCCTTTTTTTTTTTTTTTTGTTTTTTTAAATATTTTGGGTTTTTTTCTAGCAACTTAAATTTCATAATCAGTTTAGTCACATTTTGGTTTTGAGAAATTTAATCCAAGATGTCTCACAGATAAAAACAAGTCAGTCACGTAACAATTAAAAAGCAAGACCAACACAAGTCCCCACTTTGTGGGTTAGTCATGGAGAAGGGAAAAGCTGCTATAGATCCACAGCTTTGTATCGCTGAATGGCTGGTATCTGCCAACATGCTGCTTCTAAAACAAATTCTAAAACAGCAACACACCTTAGCAGTAATTACTTTCTGCATTAAGTTGTGTTGCATGAACTGTGTTTAACTGGCACATAACTGGATTTAATCTGGACTCTGATGAAAGCACAACTTGTCCACAATGATGTGCGCTAATTCTGTTTCCTGCGCCTCAGGCTGAACAACCCTCCTTGCCAAAAGCAAACTTCCTCTTTATCAAATCAGGGAAATAGAGGGAAGTTCACGACTAAATCACATAACTGAGATTTTTCAGACACTTTTATGAGACGAGATTTGCGAGAAAATTTAATGCAATACTGTTTCCTTAGAGCATGGAGACTGAGAGTGACAGGGTATCCAGATTAGATTTCCTCAGGAACTTAAGATCCAAAGCAATAACCTACTTTTTCCACAAGCCATAAAGCTACTGTGACACACTGCCTTGATTTCTGGATGCCGCATGCCCTACTTTTTCCCAATAAAAACTGCTTGTGACAAGCTATGCAGGCAAGACACTGTAGCAAAATGGTTTGGGTTTTTTTGATGCCCTAAAAATGTTCTTCCACTGGCATTAGAGTTTATTTCTATCATGCAGACATTTGACAGATGTCTGGCCCAAAAACATATGCTTAGTTAGGTGCTAGAATGGCTAGACAAAAATTTAATAATATGAATTAAATTATATTTCCCTACTGCAGCCTCAACACCATTTGGGGTTTTATCCCTTCAATTACGGTTACAAGAAAAAGTATGTGAACCTTCTAGAATTTCATAGTATTCTACATTAATTTGTCATAAAACGTGATCTAACCATCATCTAAGTCAAGAATATTGACAAATATAATGTGTCTTAAAAAATACACAAACCCAATTCTGGTCCTCTATGTCTTTACTGAACACAACCATTCAACATTTAAAATGCTAGTGGTAAAGGAAAGTGAACCCTTGGAGTCAGTAACTGGTTGACCTCCTCTTGACAGCAATCACCTCAGCCAGGCGCTTCCTGTAGCTGTGGA